GAAACCTTGATGACGGACCGCTTCACTACATGGGCGATACCTTCTTCCTTGTCACGCAAGACGGCCATATCGAGGACACTTACGCTCCCATTTCGTCATCTGTCCCGTCCTCCTTCCGATCAGCTTCAAAAGGTCCCGTCCCCATCCAGTCCACTCTCGCCGTGACGTCGGGGTCCGCCAGACCAGCGTTGCAGTTGTACCGCACTCTGCACGAAGCCCACTCCGGGATGTAGTCAGGGAAAGCGCCCAGCGTCAAGGATGGCTTCCACAGGCGAGTCAAGACCACGTTCGCCGAGTGCATCACATGGCGGCGCCAGTTGAAGGACGATGAACACGCCGTCACGAGAGTCGGCTTCGCCACCAGCTGCGCGTAGTAAGACGCCTCATCGTAGGAGCGCGCATCGTCGCCTCCCATGCGCATGATCCACATGCACGCGGCGAGAAGCACGCGGAAAGCATCCCCAATTCTGCTCAGTCTCTGGTGTGACAATCTACCGCCGTCCCACCACTGCCCGACCGGGAGCGCGTCGTGGAAGCATGACGCAATATGCATCACAATCACCTCCTTACGCGCGGCCATGTCATCGGCCTCCGGCCTGTTCTCGATATATGCCCCGGCGAACCACAGTGGGATGTCCATCTTCAAAGCTACTGTGTGGTAAACTACGGCGGGAGGCACTATCCTCGACCACTCGAAGCTCTGCCAAACTGCTCTCGCCAGGTCGGTGGGGTAATCTGTGGCAACGTAGGACGCCACGCGGGCGAAACCATCGAACCTTGAAGACGACCTGAATATCCACCCGTGGATGACGCGCATTGCCACGTTCTCCGTTCGTCTTGCCCGTTTGAGAGCTGGCTCTCGTTGCACGCCATCTTCGATCCGCACGTGCGGGACTTCGGGGGGCGGCATGATGAGGCCTTGCGGAGCGCTGGCGCCTGCATCTCCATTGACGATCGTGTAGAAGTAGTCCGCGCAGGAATGCACCGCATCCGCGATCATCCGTCCGGGGCCGGTTGCCTAGAACGCTTTGCCGTCTACCCACAACTTCGATTTCGCCTCCAACTCCTCCTCTTGGCGGGACCTTTTCTTCCTCGCGCTCAGAGGCTGGTCGTCCTCTTCTTCCCCGCGCGGAGTCTCCTCCCTCCTCTCCTGTTTTCTCCCCGCCTCTTCCACCCTCCTATCTTCTCGCCTTTCTCCAACACCGACGGGGGCGGCATGACCAGCGGCGCTCGCTGCTTGCACGGATTGAAGCACATCCCTCGGCGAAGCGGCGACGATCGTAGGGTTCGATGCCTCCACGTGGCGCGATGGAGACTCAACCACCGGAGTTTTTTCGCCGCGCTCGGACATGGATGCGATGGTGGATGCAGAACCCACGGCCCTCTGCGGCGGAAGGTCACCGGACGAAAGTCCTTGTGCACAAGCCGTCCCGCCACCGCCGCCTCGCGTGGATGTCGGGACGCCAAGGTTGGTGAGCGCAAGCATACGCTGCCTGCTCATACCGTCACGCCCGAACCCGAGCACAGGCGTCCCTTTAGAAGTGATGTCCATAGGCGTCTCCTCCTCTCCCCCGTCACCCCCCATCTCTCCTTCCGACCCGTCTCCCGCGCGGAGCTTCTTCGACTTTGGGAAGTGGCCCCTTCGTGTTTGCCCTGCACTCGCTTCGCCGGAACCACCTTGCGGACGTTTCGCCTTCTGCTGGCCATGTGGCGCCATTCGCTGACGGTCGGATGTGCACGCCCAGTGAACGAAAACGGACTACCGCAGCACACGAGGGGAAGTCGCCAGGGATCGTCTCGCGAGGGCGATGTTCAGCTCCCCGCGCAGCACAACGGGAACCCAACGCGTGGCCTTGCGCGCAGTCGAGAAGCAAAAGACTGGGAGAAGATAGCGCTCGCGCGGACCTTTATAGTGCTCGCAGTGACATTTCCCCTCCCTTGGCGCGCAGATTCCGCCCGGACGGCCTCCACCACACCCTTCCACCCGACGACAACGACGATCACCCATTCCGCATGGGGGGAGACCACCCCAAATACCCAGGGACAATGCGGTTTGGGGAATGGACGACTCTGCCCTGGAGATCCAGCGACTCAACATTTCGAACCGCGCGAGGGTACACGGCCATCGCGCACACCATCCCCCGCCTTGTTTCCTAGATTTATGTCGTCGTTCGGAGGACCGGCACCACATTTCGCGACGGGCCAGATGGCGGGCGAATCCACTTCAACGGCTTGACAAACCTCACGCCACCGGCGTCAAGATCTATCCCTTATCGCTCTGGCAATCTCCATCAACGCCGTGCACATCATCTTGTTCGCCTCATCGGACGCCATGTAATGCCTCTCCAGTATGTCACACTGGCGCTTCTGGGCTTCAACCTCCCGATCGAGGATGTCACACTGCCGCTCCAGGATGCTACACTGCCGTTTGCTCGCACCCTCTACCGTGTCCGCCATCAATGAACTGTGTTTGTCCATGACTTCGGCGATGGCGTCGAAGGTCTGCTGCCGCATGTTCTTCCTCTTCGCTGGAGTGCCCGTGCTCCCTGCACTGAACCCCGTCTCCTGCGCTGAACCCGCATCTTCGTCAACGCCATCACCCCCCTCTCCACCAGTTGAGGACTCTCCACCAACGGCCGGCTGGCGGTGACCATCCATTGCTGCCGGCACTCCTCCACGTGCGCTCGTGTCTGGCACGTTGTCCGCGTAGATGGTCTTGTTATTTTTCGACATATTGTCGATCTCATTGAAAACTCGCTCATCCATTCGGAAGTTGAAACCCTCGTCCGCTCTCGTTGCAGGAGTTAATGTGAAGAAGTTCTTCCCGCCGGACATGTTCTGGTAACGCTGCACCTTCTTGTACTGCTGGAAGACGTTGTCCCACTTCTTCCCTATGTCGTCCGTTGTCCTGTCCACTCCGACCTCCGCCAGCCGCTTCTGCTGGTCCAGCAGCTTCCACTCCCTGTTGCGCATGCGGCCGTAGTTGTGTGGAATTCCCTCGAAATGAGCTTGCTGATCCCGCTTCGCTCGAGCGAGCTTCAGCATCTCCTCCACACTCCAAGCTGGGTGCTTGCCACCCTTGTCACCCACAGGAGCCCTCGATCCTCGGCCACCACGCGACTCGCCCCTCTGCTAACGTCCGCGTCCTCCCCTCCGTCCACCACGCGCAGCCACTGGTCAGATCTCCAGCCCCTCACCGTCTTCCGCGTCCTCTTCGTAATGGGAATCCGGAGACTCGTCCCCACTTGCCCGACGACCGTCGTCCGCATCCACGTCGCTCCCCACACGAAGCCTGGACACACCGGAGGTTATGTTCTCCGTGGCAGCATGCCGCATCTGTAGGCGGAAGTTCTCCCACGCCTGCCTCCCGATGTCTTCCGTTGGAGTCCCATCATTGATTGCAGCACTTGCGGTCGCCCTCTGCCGCATTGTAGGTGAAGACACCGACGGGCGGATGGGTGTCACTGCCCTTGACGACTCGCCAAGTGGCCCGGCGCCCATGGAACTCGGGACCGGTGGACGACACCCATTCGTCGGCCCACCGACACGCGACGATCCTCCTCCCAACGTTGGCGATCCCACCACCCCTCCGCCGTGGATCGGACCACTTGCACCACTCCCGCTGCACAATCCGAAATCCAAGTCCACAAGCTCCATGGCGGCGTTGTCGACACCCTCCTCCAGCAATGCGGTGAATGACTCGCGCGTGGTCCCTGCTTCCCTCTGCTGGCACTGCCTGCTCGTCCACTCCTGCGTAGATCCACTCCCCAGAGGAAGTGTGTGCGACAGATCCTCAACCCAGGCGTCCTCCGGATCCGGCGGTAGCGGCTGTTCGTGCGGTGGAAGATGACTGTACAAGGACGGGTCGTATGTGGCGGGTCGATGGCCGGACCGGGGCCGATCAGGAATGGAGAAATCCATCACACGTCTCTGCTGTCCGACGGAGCTGTCCCGCCTGTCCATNTCAGGAATGGAGAAATCCATCACACGTCTCTGCTGTCCGACGGAGCTGTCCCGCCTGTCCATCGTCGTCTTCCTATCCACTTGTCGTCTCTGTCTACGCCCAGGAGGCCGCGTCACGACGAAGGCGCGCAAAAAGACGAGAAGAAGCAGCAGAAGAGATGCTAGTAACAGGAGCGGTAGCCGCCGGAAGATGTCTGCCATGAAACGCACCACGTGTAGATGACCACCTGAACGGACAACCCTCACGCGCGCGCGCGAATGGCAACAAACGGGGCGGCCGGTGACAACATCACACCCCGCACATAAAACACATTTCGAAATATTTGACCATTGGACACGGCGCCCGACGAAGTGCAGAAGGAGAACCCCGCCGCTCCGACGTCTGTTGCACCCGAAGCGGGACCCCCGGCCGTGTACGCGCAAACGGTAACACCAGAAGGCCGTTGGTGACCTCCCGCCAGTAGCAACCCGATAGTGTCCGCCCGATGGACCACGGACGTCATGTGCACCAGCAAAAATCGAAACTTCCCGTCACGACGCACGCTCGACGACGGCCCGTCTATCGCGGATCCTTGAGCCCAAGGGACCTCTCGAGGACCCCTTGAATCCAAGGACGCAATGGCTGGGGATTCCGAGGGACCCAAGGAAATCTCTTGGGAGCGTTTTCACATTTTCTCAAGGATTTTTGTATTTTAGGACGCGGTGTAACCATAACTTTGGACATTCCTGAGGATTTTCAAGGAGGGTCTAACGAGGCCCTAAGGAGCTTTAGAGGAGTAGTGGGAGAGGGTGGAGGAAGCCAGGAGTGGGGGAAGCAATATCTGACGGAGAAGGTTGGTAGTTCCCCTGATGGGGGAAGTAAAGAATGCATAAAGAGGGTGTGAGGATGAAGTTGGCGAGAAGGCAGGTAAGGAAGAAGAGGAAATAGATGAGGGAAAAACACTGCTAGACTATTCTACTTCCTGTTCCTACTGTCTATCTGCTAATACAGCCTACAAGACCTGTCTGCAAGACCTGTAGGACTTCACAGGCCTATGTACGGCCTGAAACCCGCCTAAATCCGGGGGGTTGGAGCCAGTGCCTTTGTGAGGCTCCCATACGTAATTGACACTCTCAATATTGGATTTCACAGGCCTATGTACGGCCTGAAGCCAGTGCCTGTGGAGTAGTACTTTTTTTCGTTTCGACAGTGGTGTAATATTAACGGTCTGGCAATATACTCGACGTTCATGCCTCAATCCACTCAGCGCCGCGCTCCACTGCTCACCAGTTGCACAGAAGTGCAAAAATATGGCGGTGTATCTGTCTATGTTCTAACGGAACATTCATTCTCGTTTTGCACATTTGGAGCGAGGCCTCTCAAGCCCGACTCGGTTGACAAATGGTGTGAAACGAACAGCCATTGACCTTACTACTCGGCTCTCAGGCAACAATCCTACCCGCGGCCCCCCCCGCAAAAAAAAAAACAAAAAAGAAAAAAGAAAAAAAATCAATCCTACCCCCGCCAGTGGAGCAAACAGACAAAACCGTCGTCCGGTCTCGTGACTCTGGTCCCTTCGTGCCCGCCCACTGTGGAGTTACTAGCGAAACCTCAAATGTATCTAACCGTAATTACGGCCTTGTCCAGAAATGCGTAAAAAGATGATAGTGCGAGTATGCCCTTTCCGAGGCAAACGGTCAGCATCACCTCAATGAGAGAAGAGAAAAGAAGTGATATCCGTCTGCGTGCATGGCTATAAAGGTGTGCGACGACTCCAGTCTATCTACTGTGTAGCGATTGGAGCTTTCTCATGTGTGCTGTATGTGGCTTTCGTGCGCCTGTTCGGCACTGTGGAGGTGTTCTTGCGCCGGTGATTTGCTGAGCCGCGCTGATACGTCGTCGTTGCGAATCAAGCGCGGGGATCGAGAGTATTGGCTTCGACTCCGGAGTCAACATCTTGCGCGTCATGGCGAGTTTATCAGCGACCAGCTTGTTGAACACAGTGCCGTTGCGCCTGGAGATGGCTGCGGCGGCTGGATGGAAGAACGGCGGGCGAGCGCTCCCTGCTCGATCGACGTCGGCACTGGCATACCTTTCAGGGAATTGCTCACGTGGGGACCTCAGCAGGACACGCGGCGTCATGAACGGCCTGAGTGATTGGTCTAGCCGTGGACGGGTAGTGTCGGTGCCATTGTATGACGCCCATGGAGGAACACTCGCCCGGTCGTTTGGGGTGAGGGCCCAAGCTCAGGGGAGGGAAGGAGGGTCGACCGGCGGATCGCAAAAAGACGCGAGGGGAGGCGACGCCTCGAGGGCTGGGGGAGCGGGCAGCACAGCAGGTGCAGCGGGTAGCGCAGGAGGGGCAGGGAGTACAGGACAGGGCTCTGGAACTGCTGGAGGTGGAGCGGGGGCGACTTCAGGAACCGGGACCACGGGAGGAGGTGGAGCGGGGACGACTTCAGGAGCCGGGACCACGGGACGGACGGGAACATCTGGAGCGGGAGCGGGGACTACAGGGGCCACGAGTGGCACTGATTTGACGACACGCGGCTTGGGCGGGAGAGGTCTCAGTCGAGCCATCGATCGGCCTGGGCTGTTTGGCGGGCTTGCGGGTCCATTAGGTAACCACGTCAGTGATTTGTTTTGGCGATTTGTCCGATTGCGTTTTCGTTGTTGCTGTTTCGTTGCTTTGCAGGTTTTTGGTTTCATTTCGTTGTGGCTGTATATGTGAAGATGAGCGAGAACGCGATGGATACTTTTATTGGCGAAATCCGAAGTTTGACTCTCTGAGATATATTTTACCGATGGTCCGATACCGTATTCACTCCAATAGAACGCCCGGTCGGATCCCGGTTATGATAGCTGTATAATGGCCGGACCCTCTTCTTTTCGAGTGAAGAGGGTAGTCAAATGGATGAAGTGATACTCGCTTGACTCAATGATTATCAAGTGGACGAGGTTATGGGTCACCGTTTAACCGAGCTTCCTACCGTCTTCACCCGAATAAAACTCCCGGTCATTAAAGCTGTATTCGGTGCATCATTCAGTCCAGATACAGCTATAATGGCCGGGCGTTGTATTCGGTAGGTTGTCAAGAAATGACGTAACTATATTCTTCACGTTTCCCACCCTTGAGTGATTCCCCCTTACGAGCGGGAGAATGAGCAAAATCCGTTCGGGTCATGAATTGTGGCGAGTGTGTGCGGTGTGCGTGTGTACCTTATGATTGAACTGTGAACTGGGGGGGAGAGCATCGGGGTGCATTGAGGATGTGTGGTGGGGACTACTGGGAAGAGCCTCGTGTATTTTTGAGTGTACCTTGTGAACCGGGGAGAGTATTAGGCATTGAGGATGTGGGGTGGGAGCGGCTATGAGGAGCCTTATATTGTCTGGTTGTGTCTGCATGTAAACTGCAGTCAATTAAATGCGTTTGATGGAACTGGGGGGGAGAGCATCGGGGTGCATTGAGGATGTGTGGTGGGGAGCACTGGGAAGAGCCTCGTGTATTTGTGTGTACCTTGTGAACCGGGGAGAGTATTAGGCATTGAGGATGTGGGGTGGGAGCAGCTGGGAGGAGCCTTATATTGTCTGGTTGTGTCTGCATGTAAACTGCAGTTAATTAAATGCGTTTGATGGCTTCGTCTTTCTATTAACGAGCAGAACTTATATAATTGTCTGGTTGCGTCTGAATGTGCACTGTAGCTAATTAAATGCGTCTGAATGCGCACTGTGGCTAATTAAATGCGTCTGAATGTGCACTGTAGCTAATTAAATGCGTCTGAATGTGCACTGTAGCTAATTAAATATTTGATGGTTTTTCTTTCCTGTTAAAGAGCAGAACATGTGATTAAGTTTACGTCCGAAACTTGCTGGCATCCGGAAGCAATTGATTGAGTAGGACGCTTTTTCGAATTAGCGAGAAGTCGCTGCGCCATAGTGTGTCGTCGTGGGTACGTTGAAGGTGCGTCGGTCATGAGATAAACCTCTGGTAGTTTAAACGCTGGTATGTTTGCGCATGCAGCAACAATTGATCAGACTTTTTTTTTTTTTTTTTTGAGAAAACACATTGTTGCTCATTATGGAACTGATCAGGGTAGTTTAAAACGATGGTATGTTTTGTGCTGGTGCGGGTCGGGATCCAGGTAACCGCTCGTTACTGCTGTGCAGGAAACGACAATGGTTATGAGTTAATGAGACAGGCGGTGTGTACTAAGTGCTGTTATGCGTTCTGATCCATGTCGGGATCCCTTCGTTGGGCGTTCAAATTCTGGTAGTTTAGAACGTTGGTATGTTTGTGCTGGTGCGGGTCGGGATCCAGGTAACTGATGTGCAGGAAACAACAACGGTTATGGGTTAATGAGACAGGGGGTGTACTAAATGCTATGTGTGTGCTGATCCATGTCGGGATCCCTTTGTTTGAACTCCTTTCTCCGCTCCCAGTTCGTGATGATCTCTGATTCGACCACGGGTGGAGTGCTGCGACAGTATTAGTACATGGCCCGGGGGGGGGGAAGGGAGGGGATATGTTACTGTGGAGTTTTCGTTTGGCTGACGTTTTATTCGTTGCTCTGCGTGGTTGGTTTCTATATACCTTTTGCTGTGTTGAATGCATCATGTGCGTTGCGTGTCCTTCGATGAATGAAGACTTGTGGTCTTCGCCAGCAACTTCCGTTCGCCAGATGATGGATTTAATGGATCGCCTCACGGATGACACGTTTTTTGGCCGTTCTGGAGTGGGCAGGCTGATGGGAGATCAACTCCGGGGATCGACCCGTTTGCCGTTTGAGTGGCGTGAGACGGATGACAAGTTTCTGTTCCGAATGGATATCCCGGGCGTTCAAAAGGATGAGGTGAAGGTGCGGGTTGAAGGGGAGAACACGCTGGTCGTAAGCGCGGACCATCATCGTAGGGCGGACGAAGGCGAGCATGTAAAGGACAAAGACAGAATAGAGAGCGAGGCACGGTACTTTTCGCGGATCAGTCTGCCAGACCATGTGAAGGCGAACGAAATCAGGGCGGATTTCAAGGACGGCGTTTTGCACGTCGTCATTCCCAAGGAGAAGGCGCCGGAAAGGAAGGTCGTCGACATCTCGATCTCTTGACGAGAAGGCGGCGGAAAGGAAGGTCGTCGACGTTTAGATTTCTTGACGTGTCGGTCTACGAGGTCCTAATAGTCAGCGAAGACACCGTGTATGCTCTACGGATCGCTCTGCCAGAAAGTCAACGCGAGAACGAGATCAGGGCGGGATTTCGAGGACGGTGATTGGCCCCAAAGGTAATAAACATGTGAAATTTTGTAGATTGGTGATGCTAGCTATCGGCCAATTCGGGTTTTAATGGAGAATGTAGATTCGATAGGAGGCAGTAGGAGTAAACATGATTCGTGAAAAAAAGAGAGACAAAAGCACGGCTACTCCTAGCAGAGGAAGGTAGTCTGCTTTCACCATATGGGGAATGCTGGCTGCGAAATGGCTGCTGGGCTGTAGAATAGAGAAGAGAGAATAAATCGAGAGAAAAAACGGACGAGGAAGTTTTCTAGTGGAAATAGGACTGTGCGCGGCCGGTATGCTAGAAAATGAGACCGTATTGGTGCTGTTTTTTTTTTTTTTTTTCCCGTTGCAGATCTGCTGCTGGGGTATAGAATATGGAGAGTAGACAGTAGACAATAGACAATAGAAAAAAGTTAGGACAGTGAAACTTTTCACTGGAATTTAGTTTGTGCGTCCCGTATGCTATAAGATTTGACCGCACTGTTCCTATCCCTGTCCGTTATTTTCTCTTTCTTGTGTCTCCGGTTGGACGTGAGATGTGCAGTAGACGTGGGAAATGGATGGGCGGCGGAGTAATAATAAAGTCAATGCTATTGCTCACGAGTGTAGATTGCACGTGATTTCAAATATCGCACAGCACACAGATGAAGCCGTGGTTGCGGTGGTGGGTCACGTGGCTTTTTTCCCTTCAGGGCGTGTCCATTTCCACTCACGCATCCTTGATGGCCTGGTCTTATGTCATATTTTTTCGAATTCATGCCATGTTGTGTTACGGAAATTCATGCCATGTTCTGTGTTACGGAAATGAATCAGCTTCTTGGGTCAAGCAACCGGAGTGCTGCCCCCCAGAATAGCAGGAGCTCTGTGTGTGTGTGTGTGTTAAAGAAAAAAACAGAAAACTACGGCGCAGTCAGGGTTCGAGTTTGAAGATGTACTTGTTGAGGCAAAAGGGCTGGTAGTGGTGAATGTGAATTGCGTAGGTTTT